TCAATAAAGTTATTAAATTTAGGGGAAAAAAAGAGAACTGTGCTATTCAATGTAAACACCTACAATAAAATCTGTATTTGTATAACTAAAATCTTAAGTTTGATCTAAAGCAGCTGTTCTTTGCCCTAAGCCTAGACAGCAATGCAGTTCAGCCTGCCACAGGCCCTTATTAGGTGGGGCCTATGTCCCTCTGCCAACAGGACTGTCTGCCATTGTTCTAACAAGTCAGTAGAATGAAAAGCACTCAGGATTTAAGAAACCACAAACAAAATATCAATTCCAGTTTCTTGTAATGATGTTAATATTCTGCATATAATACATGATGCTACCATGAAGGCATCTGCATCTTTGGGAAATTTTTCCCTTTATATGCAGTATGTAATCTTGAAGCAAATTCATCTCTCCGCTCTTTTTGCTACATGCCTTATACAAGGAAATATAGAAAAGCGTTAGAAGCACTGATTAATATGTCTTAGCTGTGGCCTTTGGGGAGCTTCCAGTCTAACAAGAAATTTAGTCATCACTGCATCACTTTATGGAGTTCAGAAGAAAGACTTAATGAAGGACATAATTAATTTGACTAGAGATAGGGAGAAATCATCACATAAAGAAGGTAACATCTGAGCTTGCTCCTGAAGGACAAAAAAAAAAAACATTTTAGACACACAGTATGTATACACAGATGTCTGAAGGATGTTCATTATGGCAGCAGTGTGGCCAAAGAAGACAGAGGAGAGAGAATGAGGTTTGACAGGGTGACCAGTGAGGGATAACAGAAAGGGAGAGTGAGGGATAACAGAAAGTCTGGTAGGCAGTCAGAAATACAGCTTAGGAATGCAACTTGGCAACACACTGTGTACAGGGGAGTGGAGACCAATGAAAGGGCTGTAGAGGGAAAGAAAAGAATAAAAGGCATATGCAGACATACACAAAGAAATGAAAAATGCAAAAATAAGGCCAGATTACTCCCTCCAAAAGAGTGTTGTCCAAAGTCAAGGGGAAAAGATACTTTCAAATGCACCAGGGAGGAAAGAATGTTTTCACTACTGTCAGATTAAAAAAAAAAAAAAAAAGTAGGGGCTATCTTCCTCACTGATCTTCAGAAACATCAGGTACGCTCTCTTGCCTAGAAATTTTGCCCTTATCCTCTCTGCTTAGAATGTTCTTGTCCCAGATAGTTATGTGATTTGCACCTCCTTATCTCCTTTAGACCTCATTTAAAGGTCCTACTTAGCAAACCCCTGCATTCCAAAACTGCCCTTCTCCCTTCTGTTTTATTTTCCTCCTTGTACTTGCCAAGGAGGAAAATAAAACACCTTTGAAAATCTGTGTTTGTTTGGTTTCCACCCTCCTCCCCCAGAAAATAAAATCCACACTAAGGTAGACATCTTTTGTCTATGTTATTCACTACAATATCTCCAGCACATTGAAACGTGCCTGACAATAAGAGATGCTCAAATACTTTTTGGAATAAAGGAATGAGAACCAAGGACAATCCCTATGAATGGAGGAAAAACAGTCATAATGCCTCAGAAATCCATAAGCCCAGTCCTAAACTCAAGGATCTACAAAGTGAGCAGGTTACAAAGAGATCAGAAAGCTCACTAATTAGAAGGGAGCCTTTTGAGAGATTTATAACCAGAAAGAAAAATGACAATATTTAAAGTTCCAAGAATGAAGAAGTGGCTTTTTGTTCCCGTTTTAAAGGAAGGGATACACAGGTTGCAAGGGAAGGGATCATAGATGCCGGAAGAACAGAGAACATGATGGCCAAAGAGATCAACATGGTCTCTAATATCACTAATAAGGGAGGGGTTTAGCCTTGGGGAGGAGGACGGACATTTCCCTTTTCTCCTAAAGTAAGAAGCACATGGGCTAAACCCTGGGTAATTCTGTAAGAGTGGAGACAATGAGGAAGATCCAACAAGTGGCTGTGATCTCATGAAAGTGGAAGGGGAAATAAGGCAGACCTCAGAGGCAGAGCTGGCATCTGGACTCACGAAATTAAGACTTGTGAGAATGTTTCTCACAAACTTGGAAGAATGTTTCTGAGGAATGCAACCCCAAGTCAGCAATACACTAAAACAGGGTGAGCCAAGGAGCAGTCAGGGGTAGTACAAACTTTAAAGGATTTATTCATTCAATAAACAATGTGGAAGACACTATTATAAGTGTTTGGATACAACAGTGAAAAAATACACCCAAGTCCCTGCTTCCATGGAGCCTACACTCTAGTAATATAAGAACTTTCTGCAGGTCTTATTGGAATTATTTTGTCACCTCCTTGAGCAGCCTAGAGCAGGTTGCAGATGCTGTACCACCATGGTGACTGGTAGAGTGAGCATGGTCAAGGTATAGGGAGAGTCGCCAAGTCTGAGTGAAAGACAGAGAAGGGCTCTTCCTTGACTGCCTTTACCACCTGACTTGGGAATTGTGCACAACAAGGACAACCCTTCGGTTCACCCTGGCCAGTTCCTTGGCACCCTTAATTCTAGTGACCTTTGCTTCCACCTGACCTACTCCTCTGGCTAACCCAGTCACTGTCTTTTACCATCTTGACCCACCTCTGACCCTCAACTTCAGGCAACCACCAGTGTCCAAACCTTCTCATCTTCCCAGCTCCTTTCCCACTGTCCCAGGTGTGCCCATCACACCATGTCCCCTGCCTCACCACAGCTTCTGCCCTCTGATTCTTATTCTCTTTCAGCTCTCACAAATATGTGTATCTTCTCTGTCCAGCTATCCAACAATACTGTCAATAACCTCAA